TAGAACCATTTTAAAGATTTTATGTTCATGGCAAACACAGCGGTGGGTTGTGTTTTTATTTTATTTTTATAGCTACGTTTGTTCCAAAGATAGCATGTAACCAATTTGATTTAAACAATTGTATGTGAAATTTCACGTTTAGGTGTAATACACTTTCATTACAATGAAAGACAGTAAATTGGTTCCGCTTACTGATTTCTTAGATGTTATCTTTCCTACATATGCTTATTAATACTGAAAAGTGCATGTGTGCTCCATTGAACAAAACAACCCCAACAATACAGTAAGTCGAGGTTATGTTCCCGAATCCTCTGAAGCCTGCTTTCATTTTGCAAATCTCGATCTTGTAAATTTTAGTTCTTAATAAAGCTTGTTTGTTTGATTAAATGGGCTTTTTTCGGGGGTTATAATGCAGTGGTCACAAGCACACTTTAATCAGCACAGAATTAGTAAATGGTAGATTTAAGGAAACTGGTTGATTCTCTTTTTTTTTTTTCTGACTCGCCTCCACAGCAGGGCCTGTCTGTATTGCTGGGTGGTTTTGTGTTAACGTCTATCCTCTGCATTAACGTCTTCCAGAACATTCATCGGTGTTATGTGTCATGGCCCAGTCTTGGGAGATTGTTCCTCAGGAAGCAATCTCTGTAACAGTAAACTTGGTTATTCAGGCAAAACGACAAGAGCTGGTTCACAAGAGGACGTAAAGGTATTTAGTGTGGCCTAACTTTTTCCTCTGCCCGTTTCACTTACCGCTTTGTATTTGTTTTTGTTGTCTGTAGCCCATCCATATGAACTTTTCAGCATTAAAACCCAGTCAGCTGGCATGACAAGTCAGTTAAACCCAGTAAGTACCTGATGTTCATTAAAGTGTGGGTCTGTTCTGTACCACTAGCATCCAGGCCCAGTACTTTATGATGCGTTAAGGATGTGTTCCACAGATAAGATGAAAGTGTCTGTTGCAATTTATTAGTTGAAAGGTGCTAAGGTGTAAAGTTTAAAAAGTCTTTACGGTAGCCCCCATCTGGTATTATGCCACATGGTAAGTAGTTGGAAGCATCTAGAAATTCCACGAGGAGTTACTGAACACTGAGCCAGTGTTTTTGAGCAGAAGATAGTTGACCTATTCAAAAAACATTTTCTTAAGTTTGGGAGTAGAATGTTAAATGTTCATGACAACATAATCTTTTTACCACTATTTTATAGAACATAGAACGTTTGAAGCGAGATAATGAAACTTTAGATGGCAGCAACACATCTTTTAAAACAATGTAAACATCTCACCTGATGGTTAAATTCTTGTCTGAAAGAATACCAACTACTCAACAGTTCTGATTCTCATTTGGCAGAAAGGAAATACATACATTTTGCATCAGAGAGGCTATTATCTGGACTGAGAGCAGATGAGAAGGTGATAGTCTTTTTTTCCCCCTCATTCTGAGTGAGGGCCATTTGGGACTTTAAAGAAAAGATATATTTGTCCCCTAGACCAGTTTTCCATTTTACAACAGTCCATTTTCCAAGAAACTAATTTTCCCTCTTCAAACTGGTTTATTTTTTTACCTTTTAACATTAGCCTCTGCACAGCTTTTACTTTGGTATAGTGAAATTAATTTTTTGCAATGTAATATTATGCTTCTTATGTTTTTTATTTCACTTTACCTTTTAGCTGTACCCTTCCCTTTTTATTTTTTAGAAAAAGATGTGTTACTGTCATCAAAGTGAATACAAATATATTTCATACGAAAAATAACGTCTCAATGTAGATTTTTGGGGGGATAGAGTTGTATTGGTTAAAATATTTAACTTTTCCCTCATGGTTATCTTCATAGATAAACTCCGAAAGCCTTGAAAGAAGCTCATGTAGCTATAATATAATTGTGCACATTTTTCTTGTCTCCCATCTACTGATGAACCCCTTCAAGTTTGGCCTGAACAGCAAAACACAGTTTGGATAAATGGGTATTGTAATCACAGCTGGAAAAAGATTATTTCAAAACCATCTAGAATGACCAAACAAGCTACTATAAAAACAGTTTATAACAGCGCTTAAAAGATTATTTGTTTTATTAGAAATAAATCATTTGAATGAAGATTTAGTTTCATTGTTGAATTTCATAATGGATTAAGAATAAATGGAATTGTATTACTTATTGTTTGTTGTCTTCTTTTTAGCAAGAAAGATAAAAAACTTGTGGCATTTACCGAGGTTTTAGTATGTTTGTAGGTTTACACACCCCCTGGTAACTTCTGGGCTCTAACAGGAACCACATTCTGCTCTGGGAAAACAAAGATTACTAAAGGAAATGACATGAAAAAAACACTGCTGTGGGTGCTCTGCAGCTAAAGTATATTGATCATTTAAAAAACACAAAATATGAATGCTTTGAACTTGTTGAAACAAATATACTATTGCTTTCCTGTGACCGTTCCAACTATACAGTCAGATTTCTGAATGAGCCTAATTTCTGATGATAAAACCATTAACAATGAGGGGAGGCATCTGGTCCCCCCTCAGCCTTTTTCTTTCATGGAAGAAGTATTGGAACCTCTGGTCTCAATACATACAAATGTTTAAAATATTAATCGTCCAAGCTGCCGAGATGCTTTAATCTGTTCCATACCTTTCTTTTACCCTTGCCTCATTTATACAAAAACTACCTCAGCTATTTCCTCAGAAAGACTCGTAATACCGGGCTGTATATTATTAGTTATTAGCTGTTAGTTATTTGAACTAGTAAAAAACTGGGTTTGGTTGTAATTCATTTATTCACTTGGATCAGCTCCACCCCTGTAACTGCTGTTGTGGTCATTGTAGTACTGTGTATGCACATTTTACAAGCTGCTGTTACAAAGCTTGTTGTTGAACCCACAATTAGATGTAATTTAATCTTTTAATCATGCCCCAGAAACGACATGCACTCAAATTGTAATGCCTATGTTTTAACTGTGTAAACATCCCCTTAAAACTACGTACATGTACATAGGGCCTATGTGTGGTTTCCTGCATTTCAACAGTGACCCAGTTTAAAGAAACCCACTGCTTCTTTGTGCATTTGAACAGGGAAAATGTGAGTTACAGCGTATTTAAATGAATTTGTTTTAATTTTTTGTATTCCGATAGAACTGTTGCCATCATGTGATAATAGCCATTAGGTGCTGCACTATTTTCCCATCATCATCTTGATGTATAGATCTCACTTTAAACTGCAAAGCTAACCAATATTTTAAAGGTCAGATGTCAAATTGGAAGATTTCAAGTGTTGTTCTTGTTTGTATAATGCAACATGTTGCCTTGATAAACAGTGACACTGAGGGTCCCACTCATCTTGGCTTTATTCAGGAAAGTTAAGATACATAAGCCTGGAATGCTTGGAGACTCTGGCCTGTGAGATGCTACGTTTGCCCTCAAATGCAAATTATCATTGAAAGGCGCATCCAAACAAAACCTTTCCACAAAGACCATCATTTCCTGACAGATTTTGAAAGAACTGGCTCTATGGAAATAGTTTTCTGTCTTTTTGTAAATAAACATATTAAATCCACTTGATTAAAGAATTGTTGAACAACTTGAACATAGGCCGGAACCTGAAACAGACAGAAATAATTGCTGAGGGATCTTTAGGTTCACAATGGTTGCTGCTGTGCGGGTTATGCTTTATGATCCTACACTTTCTTTTCTTAAAGCATGTCATATTTAGCATTCGTTATTTAGTTAACTGCTGCTGAAGCAGTCGAGCCAATCTGCGTGATGATGGTTAGTAGTTGCTTCCTCTTGCACAACCCTTGAGGTTTAAGGTGGAGTTTCATAGGGTTCCTCTTGGTTTCATTTACTGTTAACCGTGTTTTGACATTTTCTCTTGAGTGCCTGCATGATTTGAATCATCTGTAGTGTATTGTGGTAACAATGGTGATTGGGAGACAGTACCTGGCTTGTTTTTGGACTTTTGCCATCATACAAACTGAGTTTGGTGAGTTTTGTTCTGCCGTCAAGCTGGTCTAATATGAATGTGTCCACTTTACAATTAAAGAATTGCTGTAGTCATTTTCAGAGAAAATTAACTCAACACAGACCAAGATTAGATACCTTTGGTTATTTTTGGTAACTAATATGTTCACACTTTCTGTAAATATCCAGGAAATGGAGTTATTCTGGTCTAGAATTCAGTAAAGATGGGAGTATATAAAAAAAAGAAAGAAAAAGTGGAATAGGAAAGTTACACTGCTGATCAGAAATTGTGTTTTCCATACCGTAACAAGACCATGAACTGTCTGTCTTTAGAAATTGGGATTGGATAGCTGAAATGGCTTATGTTTTGTTGATTTACATTTTTTTGCAGAATTCAAGTTGTGTTTAGGCTAAGCCATGATTAAACGTTGAGACAGAACACCCTGTATACATGAAGATCTGAATAAAAGTCAGATCTTTACATTTTGACCAAAAAAATTCTAACAAGTGCAGTCGGCAATAAAAACAATTTTTTTTTCAGTTCTGATTAAAAATTGCAGTGAAATTTTAGACATTCCTGTACTTTCTGGCTTTTTGTTATGTTATTTTCGTCTTTCTTGATATTCGAATGAACAACGGGTTACAGAAAGGAATGAAGACAGAGAAAAGGTTTTCAGCTTATTACATCAAGGGTTATGGCACGAAATTAAATGACAAAAAACTTCCCATTTATGTACTATTTATTTGAGCAAAATACTTTGAGTTTGCTCATTTTGGAGGGTTTTTGATGTTCATTAGTAAATTCAGTATTTCTGGTATCATATACCAGAGTCACACACATAACACTGACAAAATGAAAATGGCCTCTCAACTATTTTAGATTACTGGTGTATTCTTTAATATTTTTTCGAACAGTTAAAAGGTGGCAGTGGCAAAATTGGACCTTAGAAAACTCTTTTGTAGAACATTCAGATATTAACAGTTCCATTTTTCTCTTACACTTTCTAAATTCTTTTTTAAAATTCAGTTTCCTAGTATGTTTGATGTGTTTTAGTTTGTGACCCCTGACTTGTGTCCAGTTTGTAGTGGCATCAAGTTCATCGAGCGAAGCGAGGGGGAGTCTGTGGTACTTCCCTGTCGTATTGACCAAAGGATCCCACCACCCATTGCCTTTTACTTGAAACGCATCTGGTTGAATGCCACTGAAGTTGTTTTCCAGTACACCAAGTTTGACTTCAGTGCATCCAACCCTACTGATAAAAATAGGATCAGTTTGAATGGAGACCCAAGCAATTATTCTGTTGATGTGACCATTTCTAACCTGAGGACATCTGACACTGACCGCTACATCTGTGAGTATATTGTGAAGAGAGCTTCCTCTGAAGATGAAAGGATTCCAGGAACGACTGAGTTCTTCCTCCTTGTCAGTGCTGGTAAGTGTACTTTTTGTCTTATTTCATGCAATCCTAACACAAATTACCCGTTCGTCCCAAACAGGAAGCTAAATTGCACTGTCACTGAGCACATAAAAGTGAACATCTTTTCGCTGACTGAAACCTGATTATGTTTTTTCGTCATATAACATATGATTTTGTGGTGATGAAGCATGCACAGATCACTGTCTGCATTCAGACATTTTTATTTGTTACAGCATCTGTCACAGCAGTAGCTGATGACACTCTCCCTGGACATGATATTTCTTTTTGGGAAGTTTTTTCCATTGATCATTGAAGATGATCAATGATCAAAGAACACGATGGGTACCCAGAGAAGCTCTGCTGGCTTTTTTTTCCAGTAAAATGTCCAGAGTTTTCTTTGCAGTTTTGAGGGTGTTCCGTCTGTGAAATTGAATACTTTATCCCTACCTAAAAGATAAGACATTGATGGATTCACTAAACTGGAGATCGCACATTGGTTTACATTTCTACAGAAATATTCTTGTATCTGTTTCTAAGTGTGACTCAAAACAATCTGGTATGGCAGACTTATGAACATAGCCGTTGATGGCACCAGTGTTCAGATCAATAAAAGATCTAAATGGAATGTTTTCAATTCTGCACTCATGAAATGAACAAAACAGTGTGTGATTATTTTTGAGAAGCAAGTACATTTTGATAAAAAAAAATAAAAAAAAAGGTTAATTTGTACATTTCAGTGTTTTGAAAAGCATCATATAACTCCATGTGTTTGGGTTGTTTTGCCATAACCTAGGTGTAAACTGTTGTAAACTATTGTGGGACCCCTGCATTTTTACGTCACTTTTATCCCCTTTCTCCCCCTTCTGAGATATCCCAAGCCCAATGGATTTAGAGCTGATAGGGATGTGTGCTGGGGGCTCGACTGTGATTCCCTGTTTCGCCCCACACAATGAAGACTTAGCTGTGGAAGGAGTCACTTTAAAGAGAAAAAGAGGCAGAGCTCCTGTGGAGGTTGTATACCACTCGAAGTGGCACCACAATGGCGTCCATTCCCAGTTCCCTGCCGAGCGGGTCGAGCTGTCCTCTGAGTCTGGACCGGGCGGCATCACACACAAACTGACCCTACAGCGGCTGCAACCCAATGACAGTGCCCTGTACAGTTGCCAGCTGCTCCAGAGTGGCAGGCCTGCTAGCCGCACCAGTCTAGGCAGACGAGTGTTTTTTGTCTCAGTACAAGGTGGGGGGCTGACACCATAGTTTTTCTTTTTAAACGTTCATTGTTAACACATTTTCTACTGTTGCATTAACACCTCGCTTGCGCTACTTACGCAACCAACTTTCAATTCAGACCAAGGAAATGGCTTTCAGCTTCTACTTAAATCGTAGCTTCTAAAGGCAACAGTGTGACTTCATTTCTGCAGGTGTTTTAAAGAGTATATTGCATGCCAAATTGAATAGCCCCTATTTTGCCACTGAAGAAAGAAATTAAGATAAATGAGAACAACACAGTTTTGTCTCTGCACATCTCCGCTTGCGCTTAACACATTTAGTTTTTTTTCTTCTGGTGGTTGGCACAAAAGTGGGCAGAACAACCCCCATAGTAGTTGTAGGACAGTATGCTCATGTATATGTTCTTGTGACCAGGTTAATGTGTCTATATTCTAAATTATTGAAAAAAATATATATATCTTGGGTAAATCAAGTAATACAAGCATACATCTCCAATGTCCTTACTAGGTTGGGATAATTTTAGCCTGCATGAAAGCTAAAGTTGGCTTGGCTAAATAAGCTATGTATCAGTTAATAACAGTTCAGTAAAAACAGTTGTAGCCTTTGTTGCTACAATACGGTAAAAAAAACCCATTACTCAGGTCACTTCAATATGTAAATCTATAGAAAAGGGATCAATTCTTTTTTATTATATATATTTGATTAGATATAAAATCACACATCTTAAATTGAAATAGTTGTTTGTAGAAGTGACTTCTGACTTTTGAGAACTTATCAGAATGAGAGAATATGAGTAAACATTTTTAACATTATAAACTTTGGTGTTATTTAGTTCACTCAATAGTTGTTTGAATAAAACTTATTTATTCAGACCCAAAACCTTTAATCATTCTGGATGCTATTTTTTTTTTCTTTCGACTTACCATTTGGGACATCAAATATGTAATAATTTATTCTTAAGATTAGTCTGAAAAACATTCTGAAATCTATTGAGTTTCCCAAAACTATCTGACTTTGTTGTGTTTACAATAGTGATAATGAATTAAATGAATAATACTAACACATTATCAGAGCAATTTGAAATTGTTTATCAGTCCCATACCACCAGTCTTACTGTCTTTGCATCCTTACAAACATCTGCAATGTCCTGATTATACAAGTTCCTGTGTGTTAATGTACCCATCTTCCCATTTTATGAATGATTATGTCAGGTTTAATTCTTATCTGTCACATTTCACAAAGGCCTCATCTCCCTGCACTAACTGCTATCTCCTGAAAATAACATTGCATTCAAACGGCAGCCCAATAGAAGGAAGGAAATGTTTTTGTGGTTTCCGTTTTTTTCTGAGCTCTGTACTTGAGATGTCATAGCGTTTTTCTTTTCTTTTTTTTTTTGGTTTCACATCTTGTTTTTATCTGGCATTGTCTCTTAACCTTTTGTGTTTTACACTTCTGCAGGTTATCACTGTGATGGCTCCTGCGATAGCAAAGATTCCAGCTACCCAACTCTGCTCTATGCTTTGTCGTCGGTCGTGGGTGTTCTCCTCCTGATCCTCCTTGTTGTAGGAACTGTGGTTATTTTCAAAGTGAGTGGCCTTCGGGTTGTAAACTGCCATTTCAGACGCTGCCAGAACAAGAGGGGAGGTGTAACTGATGTCCTACTACAAACAGCACCTGCTCGCTGAAAGCATACCCGAGTTCCTATGCAGCTCACCACAAAACCACACTGGTTACAAAAACAGTTTTTACTGCAAGTTGTGACCCTCATTTTTCTAACTTTAAAAAAGGGCAATAGTATAGTGCCTGTACTGTTTTTTAGTTAACGTAAGAAATGAGCAGCAGTGATTTTGTAACATTACCCTGTAGGAATCTACCATGTTTCTGGCTCCACTTCAAAAGATACCAACTGACGAGCTTTGATGTTAACACAGGAAATCAAGCGAGCGCAAACACTTTGTTCCCTTCATTGATTTGTTTTTCCTATGTCTCAATGACTCTCAGGGTAAAGCAAACCGCAGTACCAAATCACACCCTCAAGCTGAAATCTATGAGGAGATGATCGGCATGCAGTCCCCTAGTCGAAAACTGCCCCCCCGCCATCTGGAGGAAGTGGAGTCCTCCGAGTACAGAAACTGCTCAGTGAAGAAGTCCTGCCCTGAAAATTATTATGAAAGCCCCAGTGGGGCTCTCTTCCCAAGGAAAGCGTCTCAGAAGTGAAATATTTGTGTTTTCTCTGGCATCATGATCTAACAGAAAAACTCATCTGCTTCAAATTCACTGGCTTAATTTGGTTCTTTAATTGTATGATAAAGTTTTATCTTTCTACTGTTTTTTTTTTAATTGTTTTTTTTAATATTCATATTTCAGAAAATACTTGTCTTTTAGGGTATAAAGTACATGGTACATATTATAAATTTCTGAAATAAAAATGTTTGTAAAAATCTTAAAGAATATTTTTATGTTGTCATTCATCTTGGGCAAATGGATTGTGCAACAAGCATCTTTAATTAATAAATAATTACATAAATGAAGCAATAATTCCATCTGCATATCTTAATTGGTTTGTAATATTATTTTCAGTCGACAAAGATTATACATACCAACTCAAACGGTGTTTTGGGGGTTAGCACCGTCACCTCACAGCAAGAGGTTTTCTGGGTTCGAGTCCCTAGGGGAACTGGAGTTTGCATGTTTTCCCTGCGTGGGTTTTCTCCAGTTTTCTTCCCACCACCCAAAAACATGCATGTATATTTTGGGTCTATGATTGACTGGTGGACTCTCCACGACCCATTTGTACAGAAAATGGATGGATGTGTATATGTGGCCTCTATCTGGGCATTTCAGCTTTGTGCCACCATCCAAAACATTGGATGGAGTTGTATTCTCTTTAGCCTTGTGATGGACTGGGCAATCTGTCCAGAATGTGCCTGACCTCTTGCCCAATGACAGCTGGAATAACCATCATCCTCTCAGAAGAGAAAAGGGTAAAGACAACAAATAACAGCCAAGAAAATGTGTAATTTATTAATATAGTCTCAAAGAAGTTCCATAATCCATGGAAACCTTTTTTTTCAATGCATGTTTTAACAATCACATTCTATGAGGAGAAAAAAACCCCATTAAAAGCCACCAGTTTGCATTTCAGTCTTCCTCTCCCACCACACCCCCCCACCCCCCACCCCCACCCAAAAAAAAATAGTCAAAGAAAAATGACAAGGCAAAGGCAATGAATCCCCATTCCTTGACCCATTCACCATCATATTCTTAAAACAACTAAACAAAAGCCTTAAAAGTCATGGCCTTTTTTTTTTTTCCTTTCAATACAACCCACAGTGCTTTAGCAGGAGAATAAGCGCTCAATGGTGAAGGATTACACACCATGACAATGCAATGCAAAGTTTTGCTAAAACTATAATTGACATTGGGGGTGTGTGGGGTAAAGGATGACTAAACAAAACAAAACAAAACGAACCTACATTAAACCCTGAATCCCAAAGTGAGCCAGCTAACACCTGCAATACATCAGCAGGTATTTGGATTTTTCTCACCCACTTGTGCATAGATCATGATCCTTAAAAAAACAAAACAAAAAAACAGCTTTATTCTTCCATTTTAATCTCACACCAAAACCCGCCTGTTACATATTAGGAAATCTGTCACCAACTGACAACCTCTCACAGGAACAACAATGGACAGATATAATGATTTGGGGGGAAAAATACATAAAAAGGCTTGCACAATGCTCCTGAACTATGGGGTGGAAAATTAAAGAGGTACTTTACATACTTAATTTTTGTCACCGTCTTTTTTGACAATCAAAGCCTTGTTCATTTTTTCGAGGTAAAGCAATATCTAAAAAGATTTAATGTGTAAAGCACTCCACTCTTCTCAAAATTGATTCTCAGTCGTATTTGGTAAATATGTAACTTGCTACGAAAATGTATTTTTGTATTGTAGTTTCAAAGAAACAGTGGCACTATAAAACCTGTCAACTCATATACTTCAGTGCTTGCTTGGAGTCGAGTAGTTGTCAGTTTTTGTTTTTCTTCACAATTCACCACAACTAATTTTATACCTAGAAATAATGGAGTTGGTATCTGGAACCCTGGCCTTCCTGAGACAATATCCACATCTTTTTTTTTTCCAAACGAGTGTGCAAGATTGTGTGCATACTGCATTGCAGTATAACAGAAAACATCAAATCACAACTGAATATGCACGTAGAGACACAGAGAGAAATTAAAGTTCTAAACATGACAACACTGATCAATCCCAGAGTTCTGAAAGTAGCATAAAATCTCCAGTTTGCAAGATTTTCCATGTCATAGTAGATGGAAGATGAAGTTTGTCTTTTAACGACATTCCTGTTAGAAAGTCCTAATTTCATGAACTTCAGACGAATGAAATGCCTTGTAAACGACAGGTGGCTTTTGCAAAACAAAGACAAAAGATAGGCACCTCTGAAATGAGTTTTGTAACTAACTCACCTCCAACATTTTATCCCTTTTCACTTCTCTATCAAGTTAATATCTGAATTACTAATCTCTACCGCTATCTATGGCCACAGTTCTTTTCCCCCCGACTATTTTTCTATTTTAAATTTTTTTTAAACTTTTTTTTTGCTACCTTTTCATATAATTTCAACAAAATGGTGCTATACTCATTGATAATCATTTAATTGGATTATCACACAATAAAAGCCACTATAAGGTAGATACATTTGTTTGTTTTTACATACAGAATTGGGGAAGAAAACAAAAGTCCTTGAGTAAACATGTACACGTGAATTGTCAACATTGCCCCTCCTTGCTTAGTCAAGTTTTTCCTACGATTAGCTGAGGGGAACAAGACACAACGTTAGAAGATAACGTCTGTCAAAATAAGTTTTGACAGGAAAAAAAAAATATTATCAACAGACAAAATACACACTGAGTGGAAACATACCATGCCCCATACACAGTTTCTTTAGTACACATTCATACAAAAAATGGACTTACAAGCACACATCTATATGACCTTTTTTTTTCTTTTCTAAATTTCTTTTCTAAAAAAAACTTGTATTTGTAACCTAATGCAATGCATGTCTGATATTCTCTGAAAGCCCATAAGTGTACCTGCCAGATGGACAGAAACAAAAAATAATTACTGACTTCACATTATGTTATTGGTGATCCTTGATTCAAGTATTTTTGTTCAAAACATTTTCCATTCCTTTCGTTTTGATAGGTCTTTGATTTCTTTGAACAAGTGGATAAGATATGCATCAGACCAGGTGATTCAGGTTAAGCTTCTTGACAGGCTAATAAACAAATACACACATATACAAGTACTTTAGAGTACTGTAGCATTTCACCAAAACTATTACGTGCATATCTAACTTCATGTAAGAAAGACATAGCTTTCAAACAATCAAGTATCAGTTTACATCCAACCTAAATTGGTTCCTTTGTATCACTTATTTGTAGGGAAAGATACATATTGCTCTTTTCAGCTAACAAATCAGGACGGTTTAAACTAAAGTGAAACGTTTCAGAGGTTACGATCCTAGAAGTCTTAAGAGGTGATAGTCCTCACAGTATATACATATACATCATGTTGACGTATATGCTGCTATGTAGAACAGAGCTGTAGAGAGGAGAGCCTCTTGACGCTGGTGCAGCATGGGAGACACCCTTAGCTGTCAGGGTTCTCCAGTTAGCACAGGATGCTGGGAGGTCCTCGGCTATTGGGTCTGAGCTCGGATCAAGGCAGTTACAGAAACAGGCAATCGTGATTTTTGCTTGTGTGCTGCAGGACCTCAAGTCCTGAAAGGTAGCCTTTTCCAGCATCCTTATTTAATTATTTTTTTTTAAACATTTTTTAAAATTCCTCATTCCTATTCCTCTTGAAATGTGCCTCTCCCCTCCGGCTGCTGCTGAAGGGGAAAGTGAGGCTGATACAGAGGGCCCTAGCCATCTGGCTCTGTGGAAATGTACAGTTCAGTGGACCCGCTTTGAGCAGGACGTGAAACACAAAACAAGATAAATATAGCATCCACAAAACGGAGCCCCGGCCAACATTCCACAACCTTTTAGACGTAGGTGGATGACCGGAGACATTTCAGCAAGAAGTGCAGACCTTTAAGATATCATAGATCTTTTTTCCATTTAGATTTTGTAGCATTTTTAAGCTTTTTATGTCAAACTTCATAAAAATGACGTTAAAATGCATTTTCCTTTTTGGTTTTAAAAAAATATGTACCCGGGATTTCCCATTATCAACTGTGCACTGTAGCAAACTGGAACCCCCAACTGAGTTCATATTTTCTCCTTAGCATTGGGCATACACTTCCCCAAAATGACTTCTAAAAAAACAAAAAAAAACAACTGAGTCATCATAGAGTGTGATGCTGCCACTCTTTTTTTTCATCCCTCCTGTCCTCCCCCCTTGCAACCTCTGCTAAGTTTATCAAAGCGCCTCCAAAAACAAGTATCATAAGTGCTCTCTATAAAGATACAGTACAACACAGCTAATCTATATTGGCACAATATAGTGGCATCTTTACATACATGCCCCCCAAAAACAGTAATAATAAACCTCCTTCAGGAAAAGAAAAAAGAAAAAAACTCAATACAGGCCATTCGCCTTTCTATAAAGGTTCAATTTTTAGGCGCAAGCTCAATATTTCTAAGCTATTTGCCGCTTCGAGGGCCTTTTAGTGTTGGCCCACACAGCAGAGAACTGATATGGAGAGCTGCATCTTAAACTTGCTATTATCAACTCCTTACCCTGAGATCAAGCTGGACAGAACCGTTTACAGCACAGATAAAAAAAGCCAACCTTTTTGTCAAGTGTTTGACTTTACTTTGACAGTTTTCTAGTGGCTTAGCCTGACTTTACAGAGGCTGTGGCCATTATGAAGTGCTGACAGGAGTACACGGAGGGCAAAGTGAGGTTTGGCGTGCCGTACAGGGGCCAAGTCTCTAGTCTTTTGCATAGAACCGGGCCTGTTGGTGCCTGGTTAGGGGAGGGCTACTGGGTCTGGCTGAAGAGGAGGAGGAGGCTATAGCGTAGCAGCTAGGCAGAAGAAGAAGAAGGGGGGGGGGCGGCCTGCAGGCAGGCAGAGCAGCTTGGAGCGGCAGACAGTCACATTCCCGTCTGAAACACCATGTTTTTAACATCTCAAAATACGACCTGGAAGTACCAGAAAATACTGTTAAACAAAAAGCATGAGCAGTTAAATACAATAGACAATCAATGATGTCTCTAACATTGATCCATATTTTGCATTCAACACACAGGATGAACATACAGAGGCACCTCTGACCTAAGTGTTCTGCATATGAACAGTGAAGGGCTAGTTCAGCAGCCGGTATATTAATAACAATATAATACACTGAAATAAAACTGAACAAATTAAAAAAGTAAAAAATGTCAAACAATTCTCTCCAAAGAATACAAGATACACTGGGAAAAAATTCCAGAAATATGACTATTACATCTTCCAGGTAAAGTGATCTTTGTGTCAGAGAACTGAGAGATGGAGTCAGGGCAGCAGGATGACAGCAAAGTCAAGTGGTGGTGCTTCTCCCCCCCATCTCCCCTCCATTAGAGATGTTGTGTGTGGCAGAGAGGCACAATTAACCAGTTTTGGGGTGCTGTCTTTCTTTCCAAACGGAGCGAGGGTCCAGGACAAAGTTCTGCACTGTGGGGCTGCCACCTGACCCTTGGAGGACCACATTAAAGAGGCACTCAGTGGAAACTCCCCCACCCCACTTACTCCATTCTGACTCGCCCGCCAGCTGGGTGTCGGAGACAATTGACATTGCAAGTTTGGCGTCTCCAAAAATAACAAGGCAATCCATTTTGGAGTAACAGTGATATTCATTTTTGACATAGTTCAAAGTTGGGGCGCAATAGAACAAAAGGAAACAAAAAAACAACCTGGTCGGTTAATTTTTTGCCCCAAAGTCCGATGGTGCGTTTCAGTTCCTTCATCCTGCTACTGAGAAACAAATGCAGACATTTCCACAGAATTGACAGTACGTAAAAACATCAGGATTTTCAACATTTTGTTTTGTTGGTTGCAATGTTTTTGCTGCTCCGCATTTTTTTTTTCTTATTGGATTGCAGATGAAGCGATTTGCTTTTCATAAGTGCTATGATCAAAACCCTTTGAATTCATAAAAGTCTCAGTTTCTCCTGTTCGTACAGTACCAAACGCAAGGAACACTCAAAGGTCTACTGCATTAGGATTATTTGGTATTGTGCCAGATACCCAGAACCATCCAATCCCACTGTGGTTTCAGTCTCTGTTGGGTGTGGCTGTGGCACGCAGAGAGGAAATGTGCATTTTTGTGTACCCATCTTCACCTTTTGCAGTCAGTACAGCTTGCTGCATGCAATGTTTTACAGCTGCTTCTTGCTCTTTGCAGAATTTTCCCAACAGTTTCAGAGGGTTTGGATGCCTGGAGGTAATCCACATTTTGAAAAGGAGTAAGGTTTTTGAAGTTCAAAAGTATTTTGTTTAAATCAGCAACAATTACAATAATCCACAAAGAAGACTAAAATTTTTTTTAAAAAACACCAGCTCTGGCAGAGTATGGATGGAAGAAAATATTATGCAGTATAATGCACAATGTTAATGTCAAATGAAAGTAAAACCAAGGAAAATTTCCTTTTTTGATACTCCCCTCTGAAATGGGCTGATCGATGAGGTGGGCTGGGCTTTAGAAGAAAGACAATTCTTTTTTTTTTTTAAAAAGCAAAAAAACAAAATAACCTGGAACCGGACATTATAAAATTTAACAAAGCACCAGTAAGTGAGTGGAGTTCAGGCTGAAGGCGACCAGAAGGATCAGCGGTTGTTGATGTTTAAGATTCCACTGGACCAAGATTTCCAAAAGGACATGCACACAGCAGCAAAACTCTCCCAGCTTATATTTTTGCTCCACTTGATGTAAAAAATTATTGTGTTAGGATTTACAGAATGACAGAAAACATTTAACAGCTGCATCAATCCCATTGAGAGAAAAAAAAAATCAATATAACTGTAGCAGATGATTGGTAGTGCTAGTCATGTGGCCAGGCTTTCTTACTGCCCAGTGACTGGAGCAGGTCACCAATCGTGCCCTGTTCCAATTGTTGGCTCAGAGGTGAACTGTGCAAGATTTCAGCTATTTCTTCAGTTACAAAACAAACTAAAAAAAAAGGCGGCTTGAGAAGAGCCTGGGCCAGAGCACTTAAGGCTAATATTAGTGCTGAGAAACCAACATTAACATAAGTAATAAAGTTCTTTCAACAACATCATTGGCCAGGGATATTGGCCACGGATAGGGAATGGTTGATTTAAGTGTTATTTCTTTTTTTCTTTGTTTTGTACATTTTTTTAACAGGGTAAAAGAAAATGGCAGCTTTGATTGCTTCTTTTAAAACACTTCACACAGAACGTTATGTATACTTCTGGAAAAACCTTAAAAACTCTTCAAAGATCACTTTTTGTTTTCTCTAATTTCTGTTCCTTGCTATAGGATACATCTAAAAAATGAAAATAAAAAATGGTAAACAGATAAAAAAACGAAGAACACAGTGAAGCAGAGGTACGGGGGTGTAAAGTCTGTGTTAGCGACCCCAGGATTCTGATTCACAATTCACAGGTCAAAACAGTTTAAGCTGATACTGATTATCGCCACATGATTTGCTTGGGTTTTGCTTTTGCTTATTTTTGACCACGTTTTGTTTGGAGTTTTTCTTCTTACGCCTCACTACTCACCAGTGGCTTTACATGGCATGATGGAGGCGAGTTAGCATGTCGGGGTGTCATCCTACATGGACTCCCCGCTCAAAAGATCCCCAGGCAGCAGGGTGTTAATAGGGGTGGGGCTTCCGATGACATGGGCATCTTCCCCGCTTGGTGGTCCCCACAGGCTGGAGTGTTGGGGAAACCCGCCCCACAGCAGATCACCCCCATTACTCTTGCCCCCACCAGTGCCACTGCTCCACTGGCCAATCGAGTGAGATTGATTTGCTCCGCCCATTCGATTCTGATTGGTTCCCGGGTTAGCATGCCAGCTCGTGGTGTTCGCCCCTAGTGACTGGCCTTGTGCAAAAAAACGGTTGACCTCCTCCTCCCCGGCAAACTCTGCCAGGATTGTGGTGTTTCCAAGCACGCACCTTAGAGGAAATAAGGGAAAAGTCCATGTTTACAAACTGTTGGCTTTGAAAGGTGTGAAAAATATTGCTAAGTGTAAAAAAAAAGAACAAAAAAAACTACATGCCTTACAGTTAAGTGAAACTGTTCTTTTTTTTTTTTCTTTTTTTTTTTTTTACAACTAATTACCCTGGGCTACCTCGTTCACATTTGCCGTTGCTTTGAATAAGACTAAGTGATGCCTCTTATATTTAGTTTCTATGGAAACCAAAGGCAGAGAATGAGTCTGATTAGGAACTATTTTGATGCAAAAGTAACACAGCAAGTAGTCCTGTAGACTAGATGCAAGCTGGGTTTTTCCCACTTTTATTAGTGATCACTGCAGTAATCACAAATAACACAGAGCATCTGACTGCAGCGTGACCAACCAAATCCTATTTTCATGTGACATACAGAAAAAAATGTGGCAGGCTCGTCTTAAAAAAAGACTGAAGAATTTTCACCAAGAAAAAGGGAATAAGTTAAGGTTTTCCTGAGTTATTTCCAGTTTTCTGTTCTGCTTATATTGCTTCACTTTATTCAATTCCCTAATATTTTTTTTTAACTTTGTGAGTTTTTTTTATAGGGCTTACATGTGCAGGGACTTCTGGGCCTTGGCAGCTTCATCCTTGGAGCTATAGCGCACCACAGCGTTTCCCTGGGTCAGGTTAAGATGGAATGTGATCAGGGGGCCATGCTGCATGCAAAGGGTCCGAAGTGTAGAGCCATCAATCTGTTAAGGAAAAACAAACAAAAAACAAGTTAAAAAACTTAAACCATTGTTAATTTAGTTGGCGGTCTGAGAAAACACCACATACTTGTGGGGTAAGATTCCTCAGCACCAGCCAGTTGCTGGTCCTGTTTGGGCTATCAGTGCTCCATGTGGTTCCCTCTGGAACAAAAAAGCAGAGACAATTAAGTAAAATTAATGTTAATGTTCCACTTTGAAAAAAAAAAATTTAAATAGTTATTTCCAAATGTCATTTTCTACTCCCTTTTGCTACTCGGATTCTTTTTCAAATCGACTTTGGGGTCAGGGAGTTCAGCATAATTTACTTCTATGGAGAATTCTTTACAGCCCATCTACAGTACATGGGCATGGCTATGTATATTTATGTGTGTAGAGTCAAATCAAGGTCACAGTTGTCGTGGCATCTGCAGTAAAACCTCAAATGTCAGTTTGGCAGGGTGTGTCCCTTCAGTGTTGTGAATAACTGTTCCTGTAAACAATGATTTACACTCTGTGAAATTCATGACAAAAGTGTGATTTTTAGCAGTAGCCTATCTATATTTTCACTTTCTCCATCCATCCATCCATCCATTTTCCTCCGCTTATCCGGGGTCGGGTCGCGGGGGCAGCAGCCGGAGCAGGGAAACCCAGACTTCCCTCTCCCCGGCCACTTCAACCAGCTCCTCCGGGGGGATCCCGAGGCGTTCCCAGGCCAGCCGGGACACATAGTCCCTCCAGCGGGTCCTGGGTCTTCCTCTGGGCCTTCTCCCGGTGGGACGAGCCCGGAACACCTCCCCAGGGAGGCGACCAGGAGGCATCCTGAACAGATGCCCGAGCCACCTCAACTGCCTCCTCTCCACGTGTAGGAGCAGCGGCTCTACTCTGAGCCCCTCCCGGATGGCCGAGCTTCTCACCCTATCTCTAAGGGAGAGCCCAGCCACCCTGCGGAGGAAACTCATTTCGGCCGCTTGTATCCGCGATCTCGTTCTTTCGGTCACTACCCAAAGTTCGTGGCCATAGACGAGGGTGGGAACGTAGATTGACCGATAAATTGAGAGCTTCGCCTTTAGGCTCAGCTCTCTCTTCATCACGACAGACCGGTACAGCGCTCGCATTACTGCAGACGCCGCACCGATCCGCCTATCGATCTCACGCTCCCCCCTTCGCGAACAAGACCCCGAGGTACTTGAACTCCTCCACTTAGGGAAGGACGTCCGCTCCGACCCGGAGAAGGCACTCTACCCTTTTCCGGTGAGAGGCCATGGTATCGGACTTGGAGGCACTGATCCTCATCTCAGCCGCTTCGCTCTCGGCTGCGAACCGCTCCAGTGAGAGCTGTAGGTCCCGACTTGATGAAGCCAACAGGACCACATCATCTGCAAAAAGCAGAGATGCGATCCTAAGGCCACCAAGACTGACACCCTCAACACCTCGGCTGCGCCTAGAAATCCTGTCCATAAAAGTTATGAACAGGACCGGAGACATAGGGCAGCCTTGGCGGAGTCCAACTCCCACCGAAAACGAGTCCGACTTACTACCGGCAATGCGAACCAAACTCTGACTCCGGTCGTACAGGGACCGAACAGCCCGTAACCATTTTCACTTTCTTTCTTACATTTTTTTTTACATTCATTCACCTTTCATTTAAAAAAAAAAAGTCATGCAGCCTCATACACTTGCCAAAACATATAGTATAACACTAATTTGTGCTATTTGATGCACAGAAACAGTTAGATTTGACCAACTTTAATGTTTTCAATGGGTCACTCAAAGCTATTTATTCTCCTTGTATATTAAATGAGCTTGAAGATATTGCCCTCTTTAAGTCTTGTCATGGTTTGAGACCTGAGGGAGAAATATTTTGCTATGGCCCTCTGCTTTTAAATCTTGCAATTTTTTGGTTAATGTTTTGTCGACTTTCTTGTGAAATTTTCTGCTGATGGTTGCCACCACCATTGTGACCATGATGATTTTTCAGCTTTAAGGAGAATTTAAAGTAAAATCTTGCTCTCACCTGAGGAGGAGTAAGAGCCACTCCATCCCTGGGACAGTCCCAATGAATTCCCTCCCCACGTGGAAGAGGCCTTGGTGTTGGTGAGGCCTGGTGGGGGCCGGGAGGGGGCAGTCGTGCTGCGAGGCCCCTGAGGGACTTTCCACAGCTCATGTGACAGAGAGGCTTGGCTTTGAGAGATGGGCCCTGGGGACCAGGTGGATTTCAATTCAGATAGTTTACCTTCAAACAGAGAAAGCGACAAGAAAAAAACATCAAACAAAAGACGAAGGACTAAAAAGCTTTACTCAATTTGGAGAGTCAGAAAGACTGAATAGACTGAAAGAGCTAGTATAGCCTTTGACTGCCAAGTCACTGCTGGTTGGAGGCAGAGAGCCATTCTGCAGTGGTGAAGCTAGCAAAGTGGCTACATCATTGTAAAGATCAGAGCATTGTAAGCAAAGATAGACAGCAAGCAAACAAACACAAAAAAAGAAAAAGCCCTATGATGCATTAGTACTTTGCCTTTTCTTTTGTAATTGTGCTCTTGCTTCTTTTACACACCTCCATTTCTGTCTCGCAGGTATCGGTTGACATCATGGATGTTGGTGTTAATGGTGGGTCCACTGGGGACACTGCCAGGGGTCATATTAGGGTCATTCTCCGGGTCAATGTTCTGGAGGCCCTTCCATGGTACGCCTGGGCAGAACTCTAACTCATGAGAGAAAATCAAATACGAGGTTAGATGTTTAAGGTCCTTGTAGACTGAAAAATGCATAAACCTGCAAAGCCCTTGCCCTAAAAAAATGTTCCTTCCTCACCTGGGGGCCAATTAATATTGGTCCCATTGGAGATTTTTTCACCGGGGCTCTTGCCTTGGCCCCAGCTTTCGGGTGCGACCAGGGCACTATTGTTGGACTCAGAGTTGGAGATTAGATTGTACGGGCTGTATGAGTCCTCCAACTGTGGAGGCTTCCCAGGTGGACCCAGGGTAGAAGATATGGCACCTGAATGGATGAACAGAGTCCTTATTTATCCTCTAACAGAAACTGTGAACAAATAGCTTGGGAAAATGCAGTGTACAAAAGTTTCAGCTGACAACTAACAATTTTCAGATTTAGCCACAAATGTAACTTTAGAATGAGTAATTAGTTAAAACAGACCACAGCCTTTTGAAATCATACAATAAACTGACTAATTCGACTAATAACCTTTTGTATTGAGTGAGATCACGCTTCTGCAACCTACCATGCTTACTTAGGCTGTTCTCCATATTTGAAGAATTGACGGAGAGGCTCTCTATGGAGTTAGTGTGTGTCCACTGGGACAGGCGGGACTGGGGCTCCTTCAGGGACAGACCCCCAGTGTCCATGCAGTTTACATTCATGTTTGGATTCAGTCCAGCTGTACAGAAAAACACATGCATCTGTATTCTTCATACAAAGTATCATCACTGCCTTATTCCAAATGGAAATGGTTTAAATGGTTTGTTGATGGAACTCATTGGGTGGTCTTGGACGATAATAGAAGTTATTAGATGTGGAGACAGTGTTTTTTTTCTTAAAGAAAATTTAGGACAGAGTGAGTTTTTATCTTTTTTTTACGCTTAATGATTGCAGTACAGTTTTATCCTTAAAGGAGGTCCATTCCACTTTTCTAACTCACAGAGCGGGTATGTGCTGTAGGCATTGGGTGAAGATGGTGGCTCTTTGGTGTGCAGTGAGTCAGCGAGGCCTTGAGCCTGGTGGGAGCCTGTAAAAGGGTCCAGAGGGGATTTTCCGGGGCCTCCGGCAGGGCCACCAGAGGGGTGTAGACCAGCAGAGGAGGAGGAATGAGAAGGAAGTTGTTGCTGCTTCATCAGCAACGCTTGGTACAGCTGACGCTGGTGCTGCTGGATCTGCTGCTGCATGTTGGTGATTGTACGTGCAACCTAGGAAGATTAAATTAGAGTACTTGGTTATGAAGGCAAGCTAAGCAAGAGGTTGCATTAAGTTTTATAAAAACAATAAGTGGAAAACTAATAGTGGAAAACTAACAATTAAAGTTTGTAAAGAGAGAATGAGAAGCTCCTGTTTAGTTTAGAAAATTGTTTATTACCATGCACATTTTTCAAGAACTAATAGATGAGTTGTATAATAACAATGTGGCCAGATCTTGTTGTGATACATGCTTTTTGTTCCGCAACATTTGCGAAGAATGTTGTGTCACAGTGTTGTCATATATAAATTGCAAAAGGTCACACTCATAAAACAGACTTTTTTACTGTGATGACAGATTCGCTCACTCACTTGCTGCTCTTGTTGCCTAATAGGGCCGGAAACGTTGCGTTGCGCCTGCATCATCTGCTGCTGGATTTGTAAACGCTGGTATGCCTGAATTAAAGCAGACATAAAAAACACAACATCTTGCAATGAGTAAAAAGCTAAAAAATAAATCTAATCTAAACATTTTAAATATATTCATAAATACACATACTGTATATGTACTGTATATAAAAGCATTAAATTCCGGCCATGTTTTTTTAAAGTAAGAATCTGATCTCAATCTGGTTTAGGTTAATCTAAATTGACAAAGTTTCTTGACAAAACAAGTGAAAGGAGGGGTGGTGCCTCACCATTTGAAGCTGCTGAAGTTGGTACAACAGGGTCATTTGTTGAGGGTTTATTGGTGAAGTTAAAAGTGCAGGGTTAAGACCAATATTTTTTGCTGCAAATTGCAAGAGCTGTGCTTGGACCTGGCATAGAGGAAGGTGGAAAAAGCAGAAGAGATTAAAAGATAGCTTTTTGCAATTCACAACAGCTGCACCTAAAGGTGATATAAAAACTGATATGTCTTAAAGCGACAAACAAAAACTTTTCTAAAAAGAACATAACTGATTAAATGAGCTATAAAAGGGACAAACTACCTGAGAAATTCTGGTTTAGAATTTATAGATGTCAAAATGTATTTTTCTTGGTGGTCACAGAAAAAAAAAAGACAATATTGGTGCTTGCATCTGGTAAAGTTTTTGGGTGTTAAATGACTGTAATGTATGTCTGCCTCTACCTGAGGGGAGAGAAACTGAGGCACTTGAGCACGTAGATTAGGCTGGGAGGAGTTGAGAGGTGGCACTGATGGCTGTGGAGGCTGCTGCTGCTGCATGACCCGGGTTTGTGCTGCCCCACTAGTGCCAAACATTCCATTGGGTATCTTAAAATACCGATCATAACAGAAGATTGCAATATTTAGTCATAAATTACCAAAGATATGTTATAATTGGAGCGCAGTTATATTCCTCAATCTTATTAATGCAATTCCTGAAGGTGCTGGGCCATCAAATTGGAAAGAAATGTGCACATTTTTAAACTGCACAAAAATGACAATCAATAAATGGGAACAGGTGTCTAGCTCTACTGAGCAAACTGCTCCTAGAGTGCATGGACAAAAACCTCTTAAACTGGATACAAAAGATTGAAAACAGTCCCAGCTTGAACAGCAAATAATTATCTATAACCAACGTTTTATTTACACTCAGTGTAAACCTTGATTAACATCATATACGAAAGCTATAACCGAACATTATTAGCAGCTAGATTTTAGAAATCAATTTTCTCCATGCATATAACATTCAGTGTGAAGGCTCACTTCAGGACTTTAAATCTATCTTGTGCAAAAACTAAAAATGCTTGCTCACAGTCTGGACCATGGCTACTACTGTGGTTGATATTTCATAGCACTTAGATATTTGATTCCACTGGATGCTCCCGGGGGAATTCTTTCACACTTAAATGAACAGCACATTTAGGAGTGTGCTGGTGCAGAGATGAGGGTGACTTAATTTATTGGTTTTGACAATTATAACCACATTGACACTTTAATCATACCCAGTCAATACAAAATACTGACTGATGCATGTTTTACATCTGCCATATTGTTCTGTTGAAAGCAGCTGTCATAAATGTTTCAATCATTTGGTCCAAAAAATTGTGAACCAAAATGGTTCATATTGTTTATACAGATGGAAATTTGCACACTCCTTTAAAAGTGAGCAAGAAAAACAAACTAATAATAAAAAGGACTACCTGTCTGTTATTCAAGTTTTGCATGGCCAGCCCCGGATTGCCCTGTCCCAGACCCTGCCCAGGAAGGCTACTGTTGGTCAGGGGGAGCTTTAGGCTAGGGGAAGGCAAAAACGGTGACGGGGGGGCATCATCTGACATGATTCCATCCTAGATCAGGGAAAAAAAGAAAACTATAATGATTAGTTATTGAAAATGAGAGGCAAACCTATAATTGGGACATTAAAATACATGTTTCCCTCACCACTTTAATCATTAGCTACTGTCATCAGTAGCTAATAATTAAAGTATACACAGAAGAAAAAGCAGAGTAAGCACACCATAATATATTTGAAATGTACATTCAAACATATTTCATACATATATATTTGGAAGTGCATAGAAAATCTGAGGAATGGTCACTTACTAATTTTCTCACCTTGTCGAGAAAGGTGGTGCAGTCAGTGGGGTCTTTGGAGAGTCCAGAAGGCCGACACACTATGGGCTTGTTCATGCCATTGCTGTAATCAGATATGCCCATGCCACGCTTGTTGAGGTCCGTCTTCTTCTCTAGCAAGGCAGCTGGAGGCAGACAGGATGTGATTTGTGAGCCATTTTCACATTTACCATAACTAAGGGATTGTTAGAAATTGTTAACAATGGTTGACAATGGTTGAGTCCATTAGTATATATAGCAACAATATAAAGTTGTGGTTTCTCATTTGTTGAGTGAAGCACCTCATGTATGCACACAAAAGGTAACACACCCTACTAAAATAAGCCAGCCAACTTACTCATGGCCTGATCAAGGTTCATATTGTTGCTCTTCAGTGCCTCCTCAGCAGGGTCTCTCTGTAACACATTTGGCACGTATCTGTGACCGTCATATTCAAAAAAAGTTTTGTTCCTAAAAAGCGTCCGATATATAAATATTCAATAATTATGCAAAGTAAAAATGTAGAATTTTATAAATACTTAGCATCCATACCGGAAATCCCATATCAGTGAGCTGTTTGATGAGATGGTTCATGATCCAGGCTTCATCTGGCTTGTTGCTTATCTTCCCCTGAAAGCAAACAAGCCAAATTATCGATAAATTCCAGAAAAACAAAAGCTATTTCCCTGTATCTATATCACTTTAAACATATATAATTTTGTGCTTCAAAAAGTGACTTCATTCTCTGACCTTGTTGGAACACTTCTTGGGTCCATTGCTCCAGGAATTACAAGAACTGCTTTCCTGGGAGGTGGGACTGTTCCATATATCTCCATCCTCTGACTCCCATTGACTGGATGACGTACCCATCTCCTCTCCTCCGTTTCCCCAGCCATCTTGCATAGGTTTGGGACCTAAACATATGAATAAATAAATATATAAATAAAGTAAAAAAACAACATTATAAATAAATATCAAAGACATAAATTCAAACTTAAACTCAAACATAAACTCAAAAACAGTTTAGAGCAGAGGCATCCACCTCCAGTCCTAGAGGGGTACTATCCTGCAGGTTTTTCAGGCTTCACTGATTTAACACACCTGATTCTGACTAAAAAGATCTATTGAAAAACACTGCGCAAGCCTGCTAATGGTGCATTGATAATGTGATAATGTTGTGATGAACCAAGGGGGAAACTTCTAAAAGCATCAGGACAGAGGCTGTAGAGAACTGACTTCGGACACTCCAGTTCAGAGGGTTAACAGGAGGGAGCATTTTAATCTGTTCACTGGGTGTCACTGTTGCTCTTTTGACATCCTGCAACTCCCTCCTGCAGCTTCCTCCATTTCAAACAGATCTAATCAACACTACATATTACCAAGAACTATTGATACATGGAATTACTTTGCTCCAAGTTATCCTCCACTCAGATTTAATATTTGACTATTGATCTACAATTTCACTGGCTACTTTGTTATCTTTCACAATCCACTCAATCTCCAACAAAATTTCATGTTTCAAGTGTGTTGTATAATCTGTTTGTTTCCCAGTTTGGGATAGATAATTAAAGCATCACAAACATAACTACGATGTATGCATTACCTGGGTTGCAAGATGCAGAACCTGTGGGTCCACTGGCCCTGACATAAGGTCCAGGGGGATCATGGCCACCTTCCCTCCACCCCTCTACACCACCCGGAGGCTTGCCCCAAGCAGATGTACCATTGTCCACTGTTGATGTTGGAGCTGCTGGCTCTCCCCAAGCAGGCTCTGACATGGGCTGAACATTGAGAAGCTCTCCCCAACCTGAATTAAATATATTTAAGACAATAACTTAAAAGACTTAAACTTGACATCAAATCACTCCACCAATAACTACATTACAGGATCATTAAAATTATTCCTCTTTTTCTCAGTCTTTGCAGACCTAAAAGATACTTTATTGTAACAATGGATAACAGTAGACTTGAAATGTCAATTGCCTTACATGTCAGCTCCCATGAGAGCAGTAGCTTTCTTGACAGCCCCATTCTAAATGTTCTGTGGTGTTCTTATGAATATGCAGGGGAAGAATAGGAAAAATCAAAGCAGTGACTTGAGAAATACCAGAGCCATAATTATCTGAGTTGAGTTGGCTGATTAAGTATTTCTGTTAAGCTCAAGTGTATCTTAGAGTATTAATTTGGTTCTGTTATAGGTGCAGTTTAAATGGTAAGCAGCAGGGGGTGTTGGTCTCCTTCACAGTTAAAATGAGGCTTTAAAGCTCTGTCATGTATGGCCTTTGTCTTGCTGGGACATACTGACTGCAGCACTAACTTAATCCTACTGCTCATCGCATTTGTCATACCCCAGAAACAAATTCCTCTCGCACCAGTAAGAAATATTCAAATATCGAATAAACACTGCTGCATTTAAATAGATTTAAAACACAGTTTTCATATTTTTTAGACTTCACTTGGTAATTAAACTTTGTGTACGAACAAAGTGGTTTTTAAAATAGGCTTTAAAATACCTGGGTTGGTGTGGGGAGGTCTACCCTGGGGCCCTGATCCTGGATGTGAGGTGGCATTGCTGGGTGATCCATTGTTGTTTCCTTGGTGCTGAAGGTGAGTTGGAGCCTGGCCGTGATGGGTATGGTGGGGCATGTGATGAGTGTGATGGGGATTGTTGTTATTGTTGGGCAAAATTCCACCATTCTTGGTAGAAGGTGGGGCACTTTTGCCTGTGTTGCTTTTGGGATTGTTACGATCCCACATGTTGACAGTCTTGTTATAGGCATTGGGATCACCCCAGGTTGATGTCCCATCGTCAATCTCCATCTTTCTGCGAACGGAGGGAGGTGAGGGCTCTTCCCAGCCAGTAGGCTCCATGCCTTGGTCTTGTTTGCTTGTATTTCCCCAGCTTGAGTTATTCTGCTTCACAGAACTAGGACCACCCCAGGAGCCAATACTGACACATCCTCCACTACCAGTGCTGCTGCTGTTGTTTTCCTGTGGCTTAGAAGAGACCCAGCTTCCCTGCATTGGCCCATTGGTATGTGAGGACTCCCCCCAATTGCTGTTATTCACAGCAGGAGCAGGTTTGCTCCACCCCCCTCCTCCCCTTACACCTCCTCTAGGGCTTTCTTTCCATCCTCCACTTCCTACAGTACCTCCTTCTCCTTCCCACATGCTGCTAGAAGACCCATTGTTTTTCATGTCTGGCTCCCACTCTCCTGTGGTGGAGCCATTTGAGGCCCCATTACTATTACCCCAACCATGAGCCCTTTTGGGGCTGTCTCCCCAGTTTCCAGGCTGGTTTTTCTTTGGGCCATCATCCCAGTTGGGTGACTTATCATCTGAACCCCAGGAAGGTGTGCTACCACTTTTAGAACCATTAGTAGGTAAAGGATCTCCCCATCCACTGGTTGTGCCATTTGGGGCTTTAAGTGATGAATGTGGGTCCCCCCATCCTGATCCAGTCTGAATTGGCTGAGGTGGAGGAGGTCGCCAGCCTGAGGATGATGATCCTTCACTTTCACTCTTTACCCCAGAACTACACCTCTGAGAGGGTCCAATAATAGGGTTGATAGTACCTCCAATAACCAAGGGGGATCCACCATTAGAGCTTGAATCTCCTATCATGTCTGAGCTACAATTGCTTCTTCCATCATCAGAACTGCCTTCTTCCATCTCCCAGACAGTGTGCTGTCGGATAGGAGTCTGTCCCCAACCTGAGTTACTCAGCACTCTAGGGTCTAGGTCCTTACAGGGTAGCACAGGGGTAAATTCCATGCTGGAGGATCTGTCTCTGCAGGAGGATTGACCTTCGCTGCTATCCCCACTATCCTCACTAGCTGGGGCTGTCCCAGAATGCTTACCCCATGAGCTAATTTGCTGCTCTTGGCCTGAGCCAAAGCTACCAGCATCTATTGAGTCCCAGCCTTTTGATACATCCCCACTGCCAGAGGACTTGCCCCAGTCACCCCAGCCACTACTTCCACCACCACTGCCTTGGCGGCCCCAAGCAGAAGGACCTCCAGAAGGGGTAGTGTTCCATGTTGAGTCTTTGGAGGACTCAGCTGTCTTAATTTCTCCACTACCCCATACAGAGCTGCCTGTTGTGTCACCATTGAGCTGGGATGATTCAGTGGGTGACTGTCCTCCCCAGCCAGTTAAGCCATGGATAGGGCTCATTGGCTCCTGAGCTTGTTGCTGTTGTTTAGTGTAATTTGGTCCGTCAGTGTTAAGGTTAGCGGGCTCCATATTGAAAGATAATTTTGTTTTGTTTGAAGGATGCTGCTGATCATTTTCATTAGTACTTATCATGCTAACCCACCCCCCCCCACCATTGTCTGCATTCCTATTACCAACATTTGCATTGCCATTTATACCTGGTGGGAGGGATGAAGAGTTGGACACTCCATTGGAACCAATAACACCACCTCCAGCACTTTCCTGACCCAAAACAGGCCAAGCTGATGGATTGGCATTGGGATTGAGGTTCAAGTTAAAATTGGGTGATCCCCAGTTGTTGGGAGCTCCAACTCTGCTAACATTCATTCCTTCCTGTTTTCCATCTGATCCCCAGCCCCTGGTGCCTGTAAATGTATTGGTTGATACAGGTCCTGTCATCATGTTATTTTTTGTTTTCAGAGAGTTGTAGTGGGCCTTCTGGCCTGTGGCACCTGCAGCCATACTCGGAAAACCACTCCTACTGGTAGTAGTGACAGTACTATTGTCTTGGTCAGAGTGGCTGTGGTCAATACTATGGCTGATAGATGGCCAGTTTTCTGTATCACGTCTGTCAATGATCACTTCGTCCCAGGTGCCATCACTGGAGCAGCTGTCAACCTGTACAGAGGCTCCCCAATGTGAGGTCTCATAGTCGGCACCTGGGCCACCGTGGCTGGATATGTCTGAAAAAAAAAGAAGATAAGCGAGAGGGGTGAGACAAAAGATATTAGGGGAATATATCCTCTGAGATAGCAGAAGTTTAGTTAATCACACATAAATAAGATGGGTCCAATTACATGGGATGACAAAACATAGCAGGAAGTGAGATAAGGAAAAACATAAGGAAAAAATAAAGTAAAAATAAGGAAGTTAAGAATTAAAAGGAAAATAATGTAGAATGAAAGATGAATGATAAGAGTGGGTAATATTAGCTGAGAAACATATATCACTAGGTGCATACAACAGAAAGTCTCCCGAATGAATGTAATCTTCTTGGTTAGTTAATGCTGCTCATCAGCCTCGATGATATGAGATCGTCACACTTGCATGTTCCACAATCCAAGACTTGGAATCAGAATGCACAACCGAGCCTATTCCCTCTCAGATCAGCCTTGAAGTACCCATATATCCTAGCACTGTTGCAATTTTTTAAACTTTATTTCCCCTTATCCATTCCTTTTTACTTTGTTTCTTTACTTATTTTTTTCACCTTATTTCTTTCTCAAGCTGCCCGTATATGTTATTATACAGCAAAACTATTTTTTCCACTCTGTCCATGTCTATTCTCCCTTTAATCTCCCACCTCTCTCCTCAGCCCTTAATTTCTGACTCGCTCCACTCTGCTCCTCTCAGACAACCAGCAGTGAGAAGCTCATCTGTCTCCATCGTGGCTTTGCTGGTTGTGTCTGTGAAAGGAAGACCAAGTTGAACACTGCTCATTTATTGGCATGAAACAAGACCAGCTTCTCATCCATCACTCTCTATGCTCGACTAGCCTGTCTCCTCCTACAACTGCACAGCACTAAAACCAATAATTGTCTCTCTATGCTGGCTTCTCATAACCTGCACACTCTGTATGTATGCTGTAAACCTAGCAATAGTCCTTTTCTCTTCGTCTCGTATAGATTACTGACCATAGTTGAGACATCCATTCAAAAATAGGTGGGAGTTTCCAAGCTTTTGGCTGGTACTTTATATGTACACAACATCGGAACAAAGGACTAAACTGACCACTCATTGGCAACTAGAATTGGCAACAGCTAATCCAGTGAAAAAAACAAAAGATAACCTTTTCGGTGAGTATAGTATTGCTTGGAATATTACTGCACACACTGGGGACAAAACCTTCCATTAGATAGGGAACTAATAATAGAATGAGCCAATGCCGAAGAAGAGTAATCAATCAATAAGAGGCAGCTGATCAATTATCTTATTACTTCAACTAGGGAAGTGCAGGAAGGGTATTGATCCAGCATACAAACACTAACCAATAGGTCAGCCCTAGGCAACTAGTTGAAAAAATGAACTATCGGAGCTACTATTATTACTATAATCAGCAAGCATTTACAAAAAAAAACATTATAAAAATCTATTCTCTCAATAAATAGGTACAATATTAAATCCACTGTGGAAAGACTGTAACATTAAAGTATTCTCTGTCCAAAACTTAGGCCTTAATATATATATATATATATATATATATATTATTACAAACACACACACATATATAAATATGAAGAATGAACACCATGTATTAATAATTCTAAAGCTACATATAAACCGAAGTGTTAAGGTTTCAGATATAACTGGTTTCAGTACTGCAAGCTGGATATTTAAAGAATATTTTTCAAAAAGGCTGATTTGGCACATTTAAATTCATTGGTGTGTTCCTTTTGCTACCCAAATATATTTAAAAGAATATCCATCCATTTTCTATACCGTTTATTTCTAATGAGGTCACAAGGAGCTGAAGCCTATCCCAGCTCCCAACAGGCAAGAGGAAGGGTACACCCTGGACAGGTCACCAGTCCATCAAAGGGCCACACAGATACAAATAACTACACACACTGACATTCACTCCTAGGGGGCAATTTGGACTATCCAATTAACCTAACATGCATGTTTTTGGAGAGTGAGAGGAAGCCGGAGTACCCGAAGAGAACCTACACACACATGGGGAAAACTCACAAACTCTACACATATAAAGGTCCCGGTCCCCCTGGGACTCAAACCGAGAATCCTCCTGCTGTTAGGGGACAGTACTAACCACCACGCCACATTGCAAAGAACAGAACCAAATAAACCCAAAACGGCTCTGATGTCAAATTTCCATGCAACAGCTCAAACATTTTGTTATCTAAATGCAGAAGGCCACTGTTGTCTTTTGTGCTATGATAGTTTTCAAAGTAGAGTAGCCATTTCTATCAGAGTTGGAGCCCATCCAAGAGACTCAGCTGTTGACAGAACAGTATTTTTGTATTTGCTTTGGTTGACCCCACAAATGCCTTTCATATTCTCCTCACTCACTTATTTTTCAAAGGGTGAAAAAATACTCCAAATAATGTGCAATATAATTTCTGACCAAAACCTGATTAACAAAATAAAGACAAGCGAAAAAAGAGGCAATGAGGAGGTACTTCAGGATGTACTCAACATTACAAAGGAAAAAGAACACTTTGCTATATGAAACAAGCAATTGTGCTGTTGGTTGGCATTTCACAAGTTTTTGACAAATCACCGATTTGAGGCAGAGGCATGAGAGCAAGTTGAACATGGGAAAACAAAAAAAGAGGGGACTATTATTTTCATCCACCATCTGCAGTCGTGTGTGAGTAATGTGCCTCTACGGTCATTCAGATTGCAATTAGCAGGGCAGGCTCTGATTATGCCCTCTGAATGAAAAGGGTTGAAAATAAAAACAATGGTGTCCTCTCTGGCTCTTCAGAGAGCAAGAAACAATTTGTGTGCATATGCGTGCAAGTTGACTAAAACTGTCTCTGTACAGACCTAAACAACTGTGAAATTGGTATACTACTGATAAATGATTCAAATAATAAAAAAACCCAACTCCAAGTCATTAAGAAGTGATCATTGTCTGAAATAGCAGGAACAAAATATGTGGTGTAATGCTTTTCATAGATACGGCAGAAATGACCAAACTTACAATGAAAACTTGCAACCATCGCAGATATGGCATTCTGCCAAGAGTTAAATGACTCCCCTCCCCTCTGGATGAAATGAAAGGCTGGGTGACATAGCGTGAGAGGGTGAGGGTGGTGGAGAGTTGGGAGGAGAGGCTTGGGGGAGGGGCTGGCACATGCAAGGTCAAGGGAAAAGACTGCGTGGACAACAGAGGTCCGTTGACAACTGATTTCCGCAGTTTGACAGCGAATTGTGGGTCGACATAACACCAGAAGAAAATCAAGTGGGGATGTTTAATAATCTTTTTTGCCCAAATAGACCATCTTCATTCCTCTTTGAGGAGTGATTTACACCCACACACACCAAGGACAGTATGTACTTGTTTTTCCCGGAAGCGGGGAGAGAAAAGAGTGACTGAAGAAACAATCTTGTGGGGGCTGAAAAAGCTCATCATTCATGTCTGTTTACCTCTGCAGAGAGATGAGAGAAAACAGGAGAGGGACACCATGGTGACTTCTCTGGTATCCTTGACAGAGGCTGCAGTAATGAAGCCACTAGGGGGTTCTCTCAGTTGTGTGGATACGAGTGTGTCACAGCTTGAGCACAAGGGGCAATCTATACCTTACTGGCTTCATTAGAGCAAAGTAGTCTTTTGATTATTTGATGATTTTGAAACATACAAACAGCCTCAGACTATTTATGTAAGAGGCTGCTATTTTTACACTTATCTAAATAAAAGCAAGACTACTATGGATTTAACTTAAAATTCCCAAACAGTTTTACTTTTGAAACCCAAAGGACATAAAATAGCCAAGTATTTAAACAGCACCCACTAGAGACCCTTCTGTATGCAAGTGCTATCTGGAGGACTAGTAAACAGCTGTTGTGTGGCATTTCCCCCCCCCCCCCCCCCCCCCCCGTCTTAAAAGACCACCATTTCAGCACCTGCTGGTGCGGAGTCTGTCTGCTGTCTGGATGGCTGCTGGCTGCTTCAGACCACTTAATGGTCCCCAAGTCAGCTGGAGATATGGGGATCTGTGGGAATAACAGACGGCTGAAACAGAGACAGGGGGTCTCTGTCTGTGGGGACAAATAATGCTGTTAAGAGTGCAAAGGTTATGTGAAAGACCATACTAAATATCCTTGAATTTAAAGACGGTTGCCATTGAAAATGCTGGAAATAAAAGCAATATAACTGTTTGAGCCAAACGTTTTTAACCACCTGAGCAGGTCTATAATTCTTCTGTAAGCCCTATGCTTTCTGTGCGAATCTTTGTTCTTTTCTCCTTAAAGATTTCAGCTAGCTAGCCTGCAAGGGAAACAGCTATCTGGGTCAGACCAGCCAGCCGCTACATCTTTATATATGTGTTTTTGTTTGTATTACCACAAGAACAACAGTGAGCTGTCACATCAATGCCTGCCTTGGAGCCTCTGTAACCTCATCAGAGGTCATAAACTGTCCATAGAAAAAAATGAATCCAGCAGAAAACATTGTCTACAGATCTAATGAACATACAACTAAGATTTATAATCAATACTTAAAATACAAATTTTCACATGAAAGGGAAGTGGTAGCAAAATAAAAACACACGGCTTAAAACAACCTAAATAGTCTTAATAGGATCCACATACAACACTAACAAAAAGAAAACACTAAGCAGGATGACTGGAGTCCAGCACTACATTCAACTACAATGTCTGCTTTCTAATTTATGTCTGCCATAAATCACTGCAACAACAGGGCAGCTGGCTTGAAGCTATTAGCTGATCATTGAAGAGAGAGGACGCTGTGGCCTGTAAGCCTTCTGGACAAAAACAAAAGTGTAAAGAAGGAGAAAACCCACTGTATTGCACTGAGAAACTCCTGAGAAAAGGAGGGAGGTAAATGCCAAACTGAACACAACTGCTGGACACAGGTCTACCAAACCCCTTAAAATCCTAAATAATGTTGCTATTTTTCCTGTGTTCTGGGAATTTCTTCCACATTTTACCATCACTATGCATGAGAGAGACTGAACTTAAAAGTTCAAAATAAAAGATGGACAGGCTGAAAAAAAGTTAATTAAATCAAAATACAAACATGAAGTTTCTGTCAGTCATAGCCAACATCCACTAAAATAGATATCCACCACCAAGTAAAAACACAGGGTGTTCCATACAGGCCGCAGACATAAATGGACGGTACCGACACAAACCTGGGCAGCGTTTGCTTGCAGCTTTCGTGGCAGAGGTTAGATCGGTACTGCTGGTGCTTGTAGAATAAGAGGAGCAAGAAGATGGGGATGAGGAAAGTGAGGAGGAGGAAGGGAGGGTGAGAGTGCCAAGGGCTCCTGCAGGCAGTGGCTGGCCTCTCCTCAGTAGCTGCTTATGCTCTTGCTGACGAAAGCGTGGGGGCACCTCTCTGGGTGGGTGTCGAGCACTGGCAGAGGACGGCTGACACTGCTGCTGAGGGGGAGTCTGAGACGGGAGCTGGCCTCCGCTGGGGGGCGCTTGCCATTTCCAGAAGGAGGAGAAGAAGATGAAAAGGAGTAGGAAGAGAAGGGGGACAGCGTAGGGCTGGTGGGATGGATGTGATGAGATGGACCGGGACTGAGCTTAGCGGGAGTGGGCTCTGGCACTGGACAGATAAGAAACCACGAACACGCAGGCATCCACACAGAGAAAAACATGCATGAGGCAGTGTGTTAATGTCTGGGAGAACCTCACAGGAACATCATAGAGCTTACACGTTGCTGATCGGCACTGATGCCAAAGTGAAATAAAACATCAGCATTTTTTTCTTTCTTTTTCTTTTAAAACGTCCTGATGCTCAAAAACCTCCAAGCCTTTAAAATAGTATTTTCAGGAGCAACACGCAAACTGACATATCAAGACTTTTATAGAAAAAAGCACCACAAATGAAGATGTATTTACAAATTAGCAACTGATTCTATTTGGAAAATCACATCTAGGGAGTCTATTTCTGTGTGACTCAGATGGTGGCATCCAAGTATGACTCACACACATTGTGTTTTTTTTTTTTTCAAATACCAAAACTGACGTGGAAAACTGTCATGATTTTGTATCAAACAACACAAATGAGTGTGAATGGTCCTGTTTACAGTGTACATGGCCTGTATTTGCTTTTTGTTGTGTGTGTGAATGTGCAATGAATAGTTGATGATGTAGCTTTCCACAGTCTTGGGATGGATTTCGCTGCCCCACACAGCAGATGTGACGGATTCCATGTGAGGGGGTGGGGAAAGGGAAAATCAATTTAGAGCAAGAAGAGGAGAAGGCTGAGACATGAGGTCAAAGAGACAAGGCCTCAACATCTCAAATGGTATTGGTTCAAAGGAGCTAATAGGAGCATAGAGGCTTTTTATTGAGGCACCTTCACTGCTGTTTGAAATCAACTCCATTGATGAACTTTTAGTCAGAAAGAGTGAAAGAGCTTGAATCAGGCTGCCCGTTAGTTTGGAACTGCAGCTGCTGACGCACATCACTGATTAGATTCAACTCAGCCTGTCTGACGCCGTCTCTGCCAATAAGACAGCAGGAAGCTGAAAACATGCCATCTTGCCCTTCCATTCGCCCCATTTACCCCCGTCTCAACATCAGATGGCTGCTCTGAAGCCCCACAGCATCTCTGCCTGTCCTGTTATGCCTACTGGGTCTCTCTCCCAAACATTTCTTTGTCAACTATTGCATTTTTCTCTCTTCTCTGACTTACCTGTCTTATTTCTGTCTCGTTGCCATTTCATTGTTTGTATTCCAAATCCCCACCTCCATACAATCTGTCTCTCTCCTTTCGTCATATCCAACCTCTGCCCGATGTTCCAAACAAAAGCCAATTCTCCCACTACATCGCTTATCTTTCTTCTGGGCTCCTGCATATTTTCTGACTGTAGAAACAGTGAATGTAAAGAAATCTCTCAAACTCACACAATTCTTCCTAGTTTCTCATTCATGGGACTGGAGTCAAAGTAGCATTTTTAATCTGAAGCCATTCTATGGTCTTGAGTTTGTGACATTTTGATAAAAGACATTTAAATGGAGGACAGGATAGGATTTCTATTACCAGTCTGTTAAGATAAACAAATGGCAGTGGATAAAAAATAAAAAGATTACATTTTATTTCATCTACATAACTGGTCCTTCCTTTTAATTTTCTACACAATGGCTAAAAAAAGAGATCAGCGAGAGAATTCTCCAGTGTGAGAGAAAAGAGAGAGGCATGTATGTCTGCTAACACACTGGAATGAAGGTGTGTATACACTGCATGAGAAAAAAATGCCTGAGAGGTGCTTGAAACAGAGACAAAAAGAGCTATGTGAGGCAGTGAATATATACTGTAACTTGTTTTGTTGTTGTGTTGCATTTGCCCCTTTTTTACTTTAAGCCAATTGAATAAAAATCTGATTTAAATGCAATGTACATCCTATTACACACACCATGTCTATCTATGCTTTGTCAGTAACATTACTGCTGGTTGCTCTCACTTCATGAAGTTTGTTACTCCTTTTCATACATTTCCATTCCTAATTCCTCAAACGGATTAAGATTCTTGTACAAAAGAAATTCCACAACACTTTGTTAGTGCTAGTAACTTAAATTACTAACAAGATTAATCAAAGTTATTGACACAGTGTAACTTAAGTTACTGAAAAAATAAACAAAAGTCTTAATTACAGTATATTACACAGAATAAGAAAAAGTTAAATATAGCAACTTGATGTGAACAAAAATCATAAAAAATGGAAATAATGAGCAAATCATATGTTAAACTGGAAGTTCAGAAATCGAGGCAGAATAACCAAGTACAATGGGTTATGTGGTATTGTAAAGAACTGTGTGGCTCTCGGTGCCAGGCAACAAAGGTTCCCACTTCTCCTTTGTCTATTGTCTGCTGAGCCACTTTATTTTGTAGCCATGTTTGACCGGAGGTGGTGGGGTTGACACAACACACAGGCAAACAAAACATTGTGTTTCTTAATCCAATAACAGCTAAGAAACAGTGAACACAAAAGCATGATTATGTGCACAAGCAGATTCTAAAGGGGCTTAAAAACAAAACTTCAACGGCTATCTTAAATTACATTTGCTGTCAGCCTTTAAGAACAATCTACAGAAATGTTAAGGTTTTAACCTTAATTCCTCCCGGTTCTTATGGAAACTTGGAAAATGAACTGAAGAGATCTTTAGCAATGAATGGAATTTATTCCGGCCACAAGTAAGATATCACAGCGCTGGACTCTCTGGGTAATGTTGTCTCAAGAGACGATTCCACCAAAGAGCACCGAATACACATCACTCAGGTACATTTATCTTCTTGGGCTAAGCTCCGCCCCTTACAATGCAAAACTGGTCTTCGCAACACCGAATTGTAATTGGCCAGTTAACTCTAACCTGAACATGCCAGCTTCCTGTTCACGTGATCGTATAGTGTAGTAACAAAGTGTTGTGAATGTTGTTTGTTGGCGTGCAGCTAAAAACACAGAATAAACATCAACTTTAACAGGATCTAAAAATTAATTCTTTCAGAAAAGAGCCTCGTTTCAACTGAACAATACGTAAAGCACAGAGTTTGGATTGAGCTGGTGACTTTTTCTGTGTCACACCTCTCATTTCCTTCCTCAAAATGCTCACTGAAGCAGATTATGTAGATAGGACCAGTGTATTGCACTACTTTATACTGTTCAACTGAAACCTTCAGAACAGGAAAATAGATACTTCATTGTGACTGAGGATTTCAAATAGTAATTACAAGTGATAAACAAAACCAATGGTTAGCCTCCTAAATCACTTAGCCAATCTGGTTAAAAACAAAAAAGATAAAAGGTAATGAATTAGAAGTGATACTACATACAGTTGAGACTAGAGTAGATGGTACATGACAGCCCCTCGGTTTAATATATGTGCATTCGACTGTTTAGGCACTTGTGTGGTCGATGGGTCTGCTTTTATCGAAGGTCCCATACATCAGCAACAGAACAACACACACCAACAAAATGAAAGCAAAATTTCTCACAACTAACACTTCCCATAATGGACTGTTGCTATGGAGTCCGACAGTTGCCTAATGCACCTCCATGTGCCACTTTTGACTCCCATGTGCCTTTTTCTTCCCCATCCCACATGCCGCCTCATCCACCATCCTAATTAGCCCAGCTCCCCATCCACTGTCTATGCCAGGTTCTTGTTTTTGAATTCTCTTTCAAGTTTTGACTGCTCATCTCAGCTGCTGTCTCCCCAGCCCAAGATATCCCACGTCACAGAACCCCCTCTTACAGTTTAACCATTGGAAGCAACAATGTCACATTCACGTTACTTTAGGGCGATCACGGTGAGAGTGGTGCCTAAGGGCAACAAACGCCTAAGGACACATGCTTTCTAGTTGTGCGAGTTACAGGTATATTAAACTGGCCCTGCAATGGACTGGCGTAACATCCCGTGTGTACCCTGCTTTTCAGCCATTGAATATTGGGATAGGCTTCAGTCCCCCCCCCCGGTTACGTAATGGATGGATGGATGGTATATCACACCTTCTTCTTTTTGGTTATTATAGCTCACACATAAAAGAGGAACAAAGGCTACCACTGTTGGAACCACAAGGCTGCTATATTAGTTACACCACTCAAGACGGTTTCTTGTGCATTTGTCTTTTATGGTGGCCATTAAGATTGAGTCTCTTCTTTGTGGCCTAACTTTTTACTTTGATGGCCATCAGGACTAATAAAGGTCCCTGGTCTTTTACTATATCAACATAAACTGTAAATCCAAACACCTTGTCTTTAAGGCACAGGCTGTTCTGTATGTTCTGAATCCCATTAATTTGCCTGATATTTGACATGTAGCAACTCACTGTTGGGTGGGGGAGGAGATTGTGGGGGATGGGTGAGACGCAGTGTGCCAGTGATCATGCAACATAAATGAACAGCAGGGAAAGTTTGACCATCCCTCTTGATCCCTACTACATCTTCCCCCATGTCTCTGCTTACATCTTTCATTTTCCTCTGGTTCGACTAGTGCATAGAGAGAGTGTACAAAGGATAAACGATTCTGCTCCACAGCCATAAATCTGTTGGACATAGTTTGCAGGCCACAATATGAATTCACCATCATAAATGTGAACAAAATAAAAAAGCAGAAAATAAGCTAGAATACTGAAGAAGATTAGACTAATTAAACCCCAATTTGTTAAAACTGTTTTAAAAAGTGTTGATGCAATTAATAGAAAATGAAATTGCAAATTTATCCGATGTAAAAAGAGAGACACACTTGGGCTTAAGTGTGTCTCTCTTGCCACTTTAGTAAACATAGTGCTGTTATAGCCATGGTGACTGTGCAAATATGCTTCTTCTCAGATGCAGGCGCTGGGCTGAGCGTGGGGTGGGTGACAATACACTGGCGGAATCGACATCGTGGTTACAGAGGAGAATTAGCGAGGCGGGGGTGATGCTGGAACCTTTGAGCAGAGCAAAGTGCATGAGCTGCAGACAGAATTAAACCGTTGCACTGCAGTATATCTGTAGTTTCTGTGAATCATAGCCATAACTGATTCCAACATCCTGCTTGGACAATGTTTTCTCATAACCCCAATGATATCTGTGAATGTGTGTTGATTATTCTGAGATACCGCAGTGATGACATTATTGTATTAGGCTGTAATATAGAGGGGAGTAGATGTAGTGTAAATATTTGCTGGAGTCACAGAAAATAGACTGATAGGCTCTGCAGTTACTGAAGGGAGGAGTACATGCGTGTTTTAATGGTATCTTATATCTGCAGCTATGTATACACCCTTTATAGAGTTGGTATGTATGTAAAACTAAGCGACAGTGATTTTGGTGGCAGCAGAGACTGTGAAGCTGTGTGTGTGTGCTGGGGCTGAATAATGGGCATCCCAAGGGAGTAATGGAGGTTCAGGGAGGGATGCTGAAAGGGCAGTGCATCAGGGGTCCAGTCGATAGATGTATGTGGTGATTGGGGAATGTGAGGGCCAGGGCAATGGGACACCGCCTCTAAGAGCCCTGATTTGAGTGAAGCTCTATGGATAATAGGGGCAGAGGAGTTAATTCCAGCATGCCGAAGCTTTAACTCATTTTCATACATATGAACGCGCAGTGCCAGTCGCAGATCGATCACTGCAAACAAATTGAAATGCCTGGGACGGAGGGAGTCCGCAGAGAGGGAAACGGGAAGAAAATACAGAGGTGAATGGAAGTGTGAGATTGTGAATGCCTATGCTAATATGGTTTTCTAAAGGATGGCAGATGGCACTGATGCGGATAGAAAGACACAAATCACCTCATAGTGATTTTTTTTTCCTTCTGCATACAAACACATCAGACCCCCACACACACATACACCTTTTATTCTGTATCAATTATGAAAGGTTGTTCCATTCTAATTGCGGCCATCTTTCTTTTGAAGCTCTAAGACTTGCAGAAGTCCTAAAGGCTAAAAAAAGATTAGTCTCTCTTTTTCTTTTCTTTCTGTCAACATGAGCACCCACTGCATACACAAAATCAGTTTCTCATTGAAAGTCCCATTCCCCCTCTTTCTCTCATTAACCGTTCCATAAACTAAAATGTCCAAATCATTAGTTCTCTTTTGTATTAGTGCCGTTCTTCTGATGGCCGTTTCCTACATCTTTTTAAAGTGCGTGCAGCTTTCTCTCATATTTTTTTCTCTGGCCTGAAAAACAGCTTGTTGCACTTTGTTCAATTAAATTTGTTTTATTCTGTCAGCCTTTACTGTAGTTCTGCCCCTGTCAGTGGGCCTCTCTCCTGAGCAAAGTTATCCAAATTTCCTACTAACCCTGAGCGCTTCATCTGCCACTCCAACTAGTGCTTAACATAGCCAAAAGACCAAAATTATACAGTGTATGGAGCGGCTGATGTGCTCTTTACAGCCTATGTTCCTGATCAGGAACTGTACCTTAAATCTAATCACTGTGACAATAATCTCCTATAGAGTATTCATATATTCTAGATAAACTGGTAAAATGTGCCTAAAATCTGAATCAGAGAGATGGAAGTGTCTGTTCAAATATAAAACAAATGCCAGGAAACAAACAAATATGGGTCGGTAATTGATTAGATCTCAACTATTTCCATTCAAGCCTTTTTGCCATCCTCATACCAGCATGTCACTTGTAATTATCCAAATAAACCCAAGATATGAATACAAGCTTCTTTCATCCTGACTTTAACAGTTAAAAATGGTTACATTCATTAGTCAACACATTTCATACGGACTTTTCTGAAATGTGATGTTCAACCACTCTAGTCAATTGAATTCACATTTCTGCAAGGCTCTGGAAATTGGTTTCTGAGCCACACTTTCAGACAGTGTTGTGAAAACAGGTGAGAAATGAATGAGACATGTTGTAGGCTAAGCCAAGCTGGGCTGACCTTTGATAAACCCTTACACAGTTACAGCCAGATGGCACCTTTACTGGTCAAACTGGGAGCAGAACAGCCACCATCTGACACATAGGAGAGATTTAGGCATTATATACTGGCTCTTATTAAGAACAACTTCTGGTGCCTTCTGGTTATCCTGTCTAGTCAACAAGAGAAACAGCTATCCTGCCTCAATTGCAGCACAAGGTTAATAAAAAAATTTTGCCAATGGTTTACAGATTAAAATGGGACAGTAATGTTGGCGCAAGTGATTTTATGACTGATGCCTACCTGAACTTATGGAGGCGTAAACAACTCAAATTTCTACAGACATTAAATAGACCAAAGTCCTACCTAAGTATCTAATGTTAATTGTAGAATCTTCAAGTGGAACTGCATAAATCACACTACAACATAGCAAAATTATAAAAATAAAAAAAAGTATTCTTAATCTCAAATAACACCAAAGCTAATTCTGCAGCAACATATAGAGAAAATGTGTCATAGTTTAAAGCACAAAAAGGATGTAAGGTTTGTGTTATTTCAGGTCTGCTCCCCGTCCATTAAAAATGAACTCCATTATTCAGCTCATGTTTTCTTCCTTTCTATCCCATCAGCCCATCTCGTCACACATACCTATGAGTGATCTGTTTGGGTGCCCTATCGCTTCACTGCTTGATGCTGCAAGTGTGCAGAGTGTCACTCTGCACTTCACTCCTCTGTATATGTTGTGACTGTGTGTGTATGTGTGTGACAGAGAGAGAGAGAGAGAGGGTTTGTTTGTGTCCATCTGTGTACAAGAATGTTAAATGCTGTGTGTGCCCAATGCACGGCTAATGTTTGTGTGTTTTTATGCATTAGTGTGTCTGAGCTGATATATGTGTATGAGTGGCAAGAATGCAGTCACAGAGAAGTGAGGCTGATGACAGAAGGTTAAGGTGTTTATATGATTAAGACACTCACCTTTGGGTTTCTGATCAACAACCTGCAGAGGGAATGACAAAAGAAAAGACAATGTTAACCAGGCTGGTAAGTGAAAAACATCATGACAATAACGGCAATCGTATTCAGTTGAACAGAAACAAGTGTTATCTCTGCCAGAATAATACTAAACATGTTGCATTTCAACGAATCATATATGTTTATTTTTGTGCAAGCCCCAACTGATATGTATAATTCACCTTTTTCGGAGTGACGTCCTTCTCTACTTGCTTGTTTTTTCTCGCGTCTTCCATCAAATGGGTCTCTGTCTTGTGTTGCCAGCTTCTCTCAGCTGTTCAATAAAGAACAAGAAAAAAACTATAAGAGAAACAACAAGGAGAGATGGGATTTGACCCGTGGCAAAATTATTTTCTGTCAGCGTCAATATGTGTAGCATCAATTCAGTTATGCACACTTGACAGCATACAGCTGTTACAGCTCATCTGTAGCTAGCAGATATTATAAACGGCCTTTTTCAATAGTTTATACACACTATTTAACTAATAGTCTTTAATAAGTGTGTAAAAATAAGCAAATCAAGACAGAAGTAGTCAAGCCCTGCTGGAGTGGTGTTGTTACCTTACCTTGGACACGAGATAATGAAGGTATTAATGAAGCGTATTTATCCAAGTTGAGCTCATAGTATGCTTCAACCCCCTTTTTTTATGGTTTTAGAATGTACAATTCTCACCTAGTTCTAAATTATTTCTTTTTAGGCCTTTTGGAAACTCATTCACATTTGAGAACATTACTCCTAAATCAGCCTTTACCTGTGTTAAAAGGACAGACATTGAATGATTAATTTAAAGTGGATAATGAATTGCAAGATTTGATTAATTTGTTATCTATGTTAGCAGCTTGTGTAGAATTAATGAATCTATCTAATCAAGTTATGATGGGTGAAACCCTGTTTTGGACATTTGAAAAAAAAAAGGCATTAGTGTTGATCATACATCATGCAAAAAATAGCAGAAGTCTGTATGCAGTCCGTTCCTGTGATATGGCTAGAATGTATTGTTTTTAATGTGGAAAAAGGCATTTAAACACTAAACTTGTATTTATTCTTCTGAAACTAACAGACTGATGGGATTTAAAGACAATTAATGTTAAGACTCCCAGAAAAGTTAAATAAAACGTAAATTTAGAAACAGAGGATCCAGGAATTAATCAAAATCCAAATGTATTAAAGAATCAAGATGTATAGAATTTAGGGTTAATGGAATTCCTGCCTTCCACTAGGCTGCCTACTTGCAAAAATAGGAAAATGTCAATCAAAGTGACAACATAGGCTTCAAAGAGATTGTCTAATGGTGGGATGATGTCTTTCTTTGGGTAGGAAGGGAAGAAATGGGACCAGGATTAGAGGGGCTGGCAGAAGGACAGCGAAAAAAAGATGGTGGAGGAGAAATGACAAAACCCTGTTAAGCTCAAAGTTAAAACTCTGAAAAAGTTACCAAAGTAGTCGCTGTTTCAGGGGTAAAAAAGGCCCAAACTGCTCTCAAACTAGTTATTTGGTCCTCCATCTGGATTTCCCTCCCCTGCCTCTTTCCCTTGATACACACACATTCACACAGTCCTAGTTTCATACAAATACTGTGCATGCTTTGTTGTACTGTCAGCAGCTTCAGATAACACATAGGAGTTGGAATTGTGTGGGTGTGTGTGTGTGTGTGTGTCTTAGTGAGCATACACATGTAGCATATGCATATGCAAGTGCTGCAGTTAAGTGTTTATATTATAGTTTACATCACCTCATAAGAAACACATGACTCCAATCCAGTGTTATTTACATCTGTGATTTTCTTTTCCTATCACTTGGTGAAGCAACGAGTTGAGTGGCTAACACTGCTGAACAAAAAAAATTAAAAACAGCACAGACCTCTGTAGTTTAGGGCACTGAGCATATTTGTCTTCCATTTGTGGTAACATTAAACACAAGTAAACATCTGTAATAAACAAAAAAAAAGATAATGCAACACCAGGCAGCTGGCAACTGCCTTCTAAGCTGAAGTTGTCAATGCCAGAGTTAGCCTCCCTGATGACCTCTGCTGCCTCCACATGAACCTCACTTATTTCTCTTCTCAGCACTTCCGACACTTGCACTTCCCCAGCAGCAGCCCTGTCTCGTGTCTCTGCTGTTTCTCATATCAGGGTTTACTTTTGCTCACAGAGGACAGAGGACCAAATGTGTCAAATATGGTCACTCTGTCCCATTCAAGCTTGTCATAGTAAAGAACGTGAAATGACCATAGGGAGCACAAGACAATTTCTGGTAAGTAAAGCTGGAAGTGGAAAGTCTTGTCTGCAGAATAGTTGTTGTTATTTTCTTCTATGTTTTATGTGGATTTGATATTGCATCAATAAGAAGATAAAAAATGTTTAAAAACTGCCAGACCTTTGTCCTGTTATCAAATAAAAGCCTTTCCTTACTCTTAATACAAATGGCTGTTTTGTCAACATTGTCCAGTTTTATCATTCCGCTGCTACTGTAATTTAATGTTAGCATAAGAACCAGCACAAAGAGTCCAACACGACCTATTCATATTCAATGCTGTTAGACCTTATCTGGATGGAAAACTGTCTGCCTCATCCTGGTGTGCTCCTTTAGGCATTTCGTTCCTTTAAATGTAGGGTCTGCCAATAGATTGCAATGGCTTCCTGTGGCTATATTTCAAACTGAGTGATTACCCCTTTTTCATTGGATCCATATGATTGGATTACAATAATGGTCGACATGAACTTGAATCCCATCCAAACGATTTCCCACCCTAGTTAGCACATATTATATTATACATAGCTAATTGTTTAAAAAAAAAAAAAAACTTGATCAGTCGAGCCAGTAGAACTCTATCCCACCTCCAGTGGTATAATTTCTACCCCCAGTGGTTTGACGACTAATACAAACACAGGATTTAAATTAAACCAAGTAAGTACCTCAAAGGCTGTGTTTTTTACAGTAATCTTATAACTTTGTACTTGATTCAATTTCTTTTAGTGTAAATATCAATCAGCACAGGAGGACTGTGTGCACCCCTCTATCTGAAAAGGACAGCCCTAAACTAACTTCAGCATCCACGTGGGGCATTATGGTTTGAAAATGTGTGATAAAAAAGAAAAAAGAAAATTTAAGTAATGAGCTAGGCCCATAATTGCTGCACCTCTAGTGAAAAGGGTTTAATATTCCTGTAAATGCTGGTTGGTTTAAAATTCTGAACAAAATCTATCTGGCCTGAAAACTGTAAACATTTTTTTTTCTTTTTAAGTATCTTTATCAGCAAAAATAAAAATCTCTTCATTCAAATTGTACATTGCTGTATGACAAGCCTGGGTGGACCAATAGGGGGCCAAGCAGCAGATCTTGTTTGTCAACAACGTCAAAAGCGATTGTGGGCAAACGGTGCGAGATCGGGCCACGTGGCTCCAACATGGCGGAGGCCCATCTTTCATGACCCGTTCAATGTCGAATGAGGTTTCTCGGATTTCGTGGGGCCTAGTTTTTAGGCCCGGAAGCAGGACCATGTTTTGGGCCTGTTTTCGGCCTTCCCATTCATTTCCTATGGGAGGGCTTTTGCCTTTTTTGCCGTTTACGCTGGGACTAATGAGAAAGATTTAAAAAAGCATGCATCCCATGGTCCTTCCCATGGTTTGGACACGCGTGCCAATCCATGAAACCGTGCAGGACTAGTTACGCGCCGAAAATCGTGACGGAAACAGGAGAAAGATTTTTAAAAAGTGACAGAATAAGTATTTGCAATAGCAATAAGGGGGCGTGCCACTGGCAGTGGCCTCCTACCAAGTCTGGTGGTGTCATTTACATGTACTGATAGCAAACATACAATCTGTAGACAGCTTTTAGTTGTTGGTGTGGAAATCACTAAAGCCCATGATTTGGTGATGTCCACCATCTTCATTGGGCATAACTATTTCCCCCCCAACTCTAAAGAAAAAGTGAAGGTATGCCTACAATGGGTAGACAACTTTCAAAATAGTATTTACTAACTCATTTATCCCTCCAACAAGCTCAGCAATAACGTAAAGTACCAATAATGAAAAAATTCCCATCATACTTTCAATTATAAAATCACTCTTAAAGTAAATGTACAATATTAAGTGATAAAACCCTGATTGAATGGATTCTGCAGAGAATTCATGAACTAAGACGACAATAATTTAAAGTCTTAACCAACTTGGAAAAAACAAGACACTGCAGGCTTATTTCTTCCTTTACTGAATGCAACTGCTTCAGCGACACAAGACAGAATAATTCTGAATTTTAGGATACAATGAAGGATAGAAGAGACATAAAAATCACAACACAGTCAGAAAATTTGCACTGCCATAAAAAAAGTACTGACGCACGCACATGAAATGATGAAAGCACACCCAGAGCAATATTACTTAAAAACGACAGCAACTGGAGAGCCATACAGAGAACCGACAAAATGGAAAAACAAAACGAGATTCAGCTGGAACAGGCAAAAGGCAGAAAAAGCAGAGTAATCGAGAAGCTGGAGTAGCTGGAAACAAAACTGAATGTACCATTGACGAGGTTAGCCAACAAGGAGAAATAATGAAGAAAGGGGTAGAATACACACTAACCTGACTGCCAATGGTGAGAGGGATAGAAATGAAAATAAATAAGATGTCACCAAGGAAAAGACGAAGAAACTACTGAGCACAATTTTCAACATTGAGCAAAAAAAAATCAATACAAAAAGAAAAAAAATAAAGAAAAAAAAAATCAACACTTATTAATACGGTCAATCCACGATCACAGACCTTGGTAAATCTGCTTATTTCCATAATCACCATTCCGGTGTCATAACTACAGCCACAGCACTCTCATGAGCCCTGTTACTTAAACCATTATAGGCAGGCTTTACCTGGAAAATGTGTTTCCTCAGTACCCACTCCTTCTGTAAGTGTGCTTTGCTTAAATCAGGTGGAGTGGCTTTGGAAAATATACTGTGAACTTTATTGTTATAAGCCTGGACTCGCTTTAAAAGGTGTTAGAAAGAAAAAAAAGAAAGATCTGTAGGCGAGACATTGGCTGAATGCGAACAAGTGGGTGGTGAGGGGTGACTAAAGGGGGACCCGAGATGGAAAAGAAGTCAAAGAATTGGAAAGTGAAGTACATTGAGCTTTGCTACAAATAGCAGCTTTAAGGTTGATCTTCAAAAAAGTAGCTCTGTGGAGTCTTGGCTACATCCACTGCCAGGACAATATGGAACTTCCACACACTGGCAGATCATTA